AGAGGTTGTTTCAGGGTTCAATCTGTGAGTTAGCCGTGCCCTGACTTAGATCAGCCCAGAGGTTGTTTCAGGGTTCAATCTGTGAGTTAGCCATACCCTGACTTTCATCAGCCCAGAGGTTGTTTCAGCGTTCAATCTGTGAGTTAGCCGTGCCCTGACTTAGATCAGCCCAGAGGTTGTTTCAGGGTTCAATCTGTGAGTTAGCCGTGCCCTGATTTAGATCAGCTCAGAGGTTGTTTCAGGGTTCAATCTGTGAGTTAGCCATGCCCTGACTTAGATCAGACCAGACGTTGTTTCAGGGTTCAATCTGTAAGTTAGCCGTGCCCTGACTTAGATCAGCTCAGAGGTTGTTTCAGGGTTCAATCTGTAAGTTAGCCGTGCCCCTGTCAAGCTTAAGAAGTTCTTTCAGGGTATCAACAAGATATTAACATTAGAACGTACCTCCACATGACCATCCTGGAGTCGATAATAAGTCCAGTGAGAGCCGTCAAAGGAATAAGAGACCTTGTAGCTCTGAACATACTGCAAGGCATCTTGTCTACCTTGTGTCACTATCTTGGTTACAGTCGACGGACGACCAAGATCAACCTATAAGCAACAAATAATGTCCATCGCAATTGAAAATCATTCAAATGTGTAAACTCAAGGAGGTTAGGTGGAGAGGTGGTTAGTATGAGGTGTAGGCACTGAGGGTGGTCACTATCCAATAATGATGTCTGTTTGTCTGTATTATTTGTCTGTCTGTCCGTTTGTCTGCTAATGTGTATTTCATTACCTGTAGCCACTGATTTACATTGGCAACCTTTGCAGCCCATGCTCCTTTCCTTGCTCCTGAAGCCACGCTGTTTAATCGTGAATATTCTGCCTTGTAGTGGTTGCTAGCTATCGAAGAAGCCGAGAAAAACTGACCAGGTACACGACCATCCTCGACACCAAGAGGAACAAAACATGAACCTTCTGGATGGAAATCGAACAAAATGAAATTAGTTTTTTCTATGGATGTTAGGCAAGTAAATGTCTTGAACCTTACTAAAATAAGATGACTCTTAATCAGGTGAAATCATTTTCCATTTCAAATCGCCAGAGAAAAAAGATTTTCTGGTTGAGTTTTATCAACATTAAATAATGTTTTCAAGTGCCGTTAAGAAAGCAAAAAAAAAAAAAAAAAAAAAAAAAAAAAATTAAATACGCATGTTAATGATAAATGATGTGGAATAGATTATAAATTACTTCAATTGTATACTGTCCCGTGGGGAAAAAAAAAAGTAAATTCCCTCGTAATCCTTGTAGTACTCTTTAAAACAGACACTGTGTAGTTGTTTGTGGGACAAGATTTAATTTCACTGTGAAAACTATTGCAACGGTGATTGGTTCGTTATTGACTGAGTCGGAACCATCAGTACCTTTTAATGATATATGAATTATAGGATTCTTAGTGTTTACCTCCCGAACATCCATAAAGCTCCATTCTTATTCCAACAAAAGCATTCCACGTCTTGGGGTGAAGGCGAACAAAACGAGCAAATAAAGGAGGGTAGAATGGATTCCTAATGATGCTGAAATCGTCGTTATTACCGGAAAATACCCGTAAAAAAAAAGAGTTCGAATTCTTAGGAATTGACCTCCTCGGCTTGGGCCAAATGTTTTAATTTCTCATTTCAGACCACGTGTCATTCTCTTGAGAATAAGATTCTTCGTATTATTTGTATCCATAAGTATGTGTCTTCTCATGCACAACCATTAAATAAACAAACTATACTCCAGGGCCCGGTTGTTCGAAGGGTGGATAGCGCTATCCGACGGATAAATCTTATCCAGTGGATAAATGTATTGGATAACAGCATCGATTTATCCACTAGTGAATGYAGCTCCATCTGGATGACGGGACAAAACAATAGGTTCCAATTCTCAGGAGAATGGAATTCTTTTGTTTTGTCCCCCAGGTGGAGCTGCTTTGACGTCACATGCAAGGGGTCTATAGGAGATACGCCCAGGGAATGGTCTGAAATAGAAAACCTCCATGGAAAATATTCATGGATGCCAGAGTATGATAGATTGGGATTCATCAAATTATGCGTGTGTGGTGAGTGTTTCGTTATCCATACCTTGATTTGACTGTTGTCTCTAACATATGTCCAGTGTGATCCATCAATGCTGTGGGAAACCCAATAACTTTTGACGTACTGATTCGCTTTAGGTCTCCCTTGTGTGTTGCAACTGAAGTCACTTTAAGAGCCCGCACAAAGTCAACTTGTATGTATTCGTTTGGAGTGGACTTCTTTGGCAGCCAGGCTGCTGGTCCGTTAAGTCTGCCTTTGTCTGCTTTCCAACTATTACTATGTATTGTTGATGCCGACATGGCAGCGTTGGGAATCCTATTATCTTCTAGTCCCAAGGGAAGATGACAGCCAGGCACTGAGACAGAAAAGACAGAGAGTTAGAGTTTAAAAATATTATCAATGGCCGAGCATAGGTATTTACAGTAGGGCTTTCTAAATGTCATTTTTGAATTATTCTTGAGAAAAATTTAATCCGTACAACTAAGGCCAAATTGCACTGCCGGCAGGTCCGAAGTCTAAACGACGCCTCAGCTTCTGCGGATGTCTTGGGGTATGCATTAAGAGCAGTGTTTGTATTTTGGAGTTTATCATAAAATTTCAGTCCGAGGACGAGGGTTAGAACCCACCCATTGCATTCAGACTCTTTTATATTAATCTTCCCTACATGGTCTTGTCGCCAAAAATTACATCGTCTTGACCAACTAGGTTTTAGGCCCCGTCCACACGTATCCGGAAAT